ATACTCCAAATGTTTTTCTAAATTTACTTTATAAAAAAACGAAACGAAATATAATCACTTTTCTATTACATACAAAACTGAACCATTTTAATAGCTGAAACAGTAGTATAAGCTTTTTTTGGGAAAAGGGGGGAAAAGACGAGCTAAATTTGAGACCCGTGCAGGACTTTAATCCACTTCATCCAATGCTGTTTTGTTCTCATCTATGAGCATGCTCTTGATATATGTATTTTAGGTGTGTAAATGTAGAATAGCCTTTTAATTATTTTTTCAGTTTTATTTAAATTTGTAGTTAAAACAACTAAAAATAAATGTATTTTAAAGTTTAGAATTAAACAGCCTTTGCACACAGGCTTACGCTGAAAACAACAAAATGGAACCTCAAGGTTGATCTAGGAAAATGTGTGCAAATGTATAGGGCCCCATTCCTATATTTTGCCTGGGGCCCCCAATTCACTAAATCCGCCCCTGTCGCCTCCTTATGGTATCTGAGATACTCCCATTTCAATAGTAACGTGTCAGTAATGATTCAGTGCTCTGCCATCTAACCGAAGAAGAGAAGAGAAAGTAATAGTTGAATAATTATAAGGATGCACTGGTGCGGACTGAAGAGCAGCGCGTGAGTGAGACCTGCAGTACTTCAACTGAGAGACGATCAGTCCACATGGACAGACTCAGTGAAGCAAAACCTTTCAAGTCGCATTTAGTGTATTTGTGAATGGAATGAACAGGTGACATCAAATGTTCGTACCTGTGCGCGTTTTAATGAAGTTTGGATGAAGATGAAGAACAGCGTATTAAAGATCTTCGCCAGGAGGAAAATGCACAGAGCTTCCTGAACAACTATTGCGCATTTCATATTTTAGCGGACAGATACGCACGCAACTGTGCAAAATGCTCACAGTGCGTAAAAGGGTATGGGTACGTTTAGCTGTGCTGCTGGCTGTCTGGATAGAGCGCGCGATCAGCTTCCCTGTGAGGCATCTTCACGAGAGATCCAGACACGGCGACTCCATAGAGGTAAGTACAAGTGGATCGGTATTTTATTATTTATTTATTGTTACTTTTCAAGTGCTGTATGGGTCCATTTTATTGTTTTGCCTCTGTGTCAGACCCATATTTCAGCCTTTAAATAGCATGTAATGTTAAATAGCATAGTATGTAAATATCATTTTTAACTGAGTATTATTAGTATTGTTGCGTAATTTCCAAACAAGCTGTACTAGAATGTGTGAATATGTGGTTACACTTTATTTTAAGGTGTCCTTGTTACAGTATAATTATACATATAAGTACTGAGTAATATTAATTAACTACATGATTTGGGTTTGGCTTAGGGTTACTTGCATGTAATTATGCATAATTAATTGTTATTATAATAGTAAGTACATGTAACGCGTAACAAGGACCAATGTTGGGGAAAGTTACTTTTAAAAGTAATGCATTACAATATTGCATTACTCCCTAAAAAAAGTAACTAATTACGTTACTTAGTTACTTTTTATGGATGCGATAGATTACTTTCGCGTTACAGGAGAGCTGTCAGTCAATAAACGGGAAAACAAAGTAGCTGGCATTACTTTTTTGAAAAAGTAACTTGTAAAAGTAATGCGTTACTTTACTAGTTACTTGAAAAAAGTAATCTACGTAACTCGCATTACTTGTAATGAGTTACCCCCAACACTGACAAGGACACCTTAAAACAACGTGTTACCGAATATGTTAATGTGTGTATGTGGATACATGATACATGTATTTGGATACAAAATGCTGTATAACCATAGCATGACAAATGCATCAGGCCATTTTATTTCAAAAATGTTTTAAAAATAATTTACACTACGCATTTCCAAATACAATAGGCTGATTCATAATGAAAGAAAAAAAATCATTTGTGGATCTGACTTTTGTTGATTCATACAAAACTGCCCATAGTTGAAGAAACTGCACCATGGAACATAGCAGTTATTCTGAAAGACCCAAAAGCACAAACAGAGCAGGTTTTATTCATTTCAAGTCTTTAAGCATTAATAATGTACATTGTGTCACTTAAGCTAAATGAATACAATTTAATGTATGCTGAGGATATAACTATGTCTTCAGAAAAGTAAGAGTCTGAGGGGATGAACACTGCTAATAACAGTGATCATGAAGGAATTTATTACAATTTAATGCTGATATTTCTATATCCAGTTTTTAATAATCAGTTGTTTACTCTACCACAAAATGGTAAAGGGGTTGACTATTTAAAATGTGCCTTTTGGAATGACTTATTTACATTAATGAGTGCTCATTTGCCATGCCGTTGTATAAATGTGGCAGATGTCATGAATATTTTGGTTAGAATAACAGAAATGATTATCGAAAGAGTTGCATCTTGCTTCGTTAACATGACTGAAATGAGTGACTTGAGGTAGTGACACCAATAAATTCAATGCTCTAACCCTTTTTTTATTATTTCACCATGCAAAGAGAGGCCTCATACAGTAGAGCAGTGCAATAGTGAGGCCTTACATAATACTGGTCAAAAAACACTTTATTTCACTCTCTCTCACAGGGTCATAGTTCAGCTCCTAAACTGTTTTTTTAGCCCCACTTCTGTGTTAATGTGGTATTTCCTGCATTCTGGTCTCCTTGATGCTATGTTTGTGCACAAGGGGGCCATGTCTAACCTCTACAAGAAAGGTCCTGCTGCTACTCAGCTTTGTATTAATAAATGTCTCTTTTGTTTTTACAAGTGGGGCAGGGGTCGTCAAAGGGAAAGGGAACGGGGGGGTCTTAGATTATTGTTTTTCTTCACTGGTTTGGAAATGGCGTGGTCCTGGGACTTTGATATTGGAGGTCACATAAATCTAGGCTGCACTGCAGACTGCTTTCCCAAATGCCCCAACATAAAGTGTGTGAGCTGATTGTGTCTTAAACTTAACAACTACTTTACTAAGTATTAATAAGCAGTAATTAGGAGTATTTTGAGGCAAAATCATAGTTAATAGTAAGAATTGGACCCTAATCTAAAGTGTGACCAGAATAATTTAGTTACTTGAATGAATTAAAAGAACCATTTCATGTTTATCCTTGTATCATTAACTTGTCGAGGTTGATATAGGATTTAGAAAGTAATTAGTAATAAGTAATTAAATACTTTATGGAGAGAGTAATTTGTACAGTAATCTAATTACATTGTTGAAGATGTAATTAGTAACTAGTAATTAATTACTTTTTTAGATTAACTTACCCAACACTGGTAGTGAGTTCCTCTTCCAATACCTTTGACGATTGAGCGTGCAAGTCATAATATCCCAGCCCGGATATAATAAGCCATTACCGTGTTTCTCTACTCTGATGCTAATGTCTAATCCTGTGTAATCCAAAGTGGATTCATCAGCATCCATAGTAAGTCATTACTCCCGATTGGATGTAATTAAGTGTAATAGGTTATCTGATTTTGAGATGAAGAGGAAGTAATTCTGCTTGATTTGATATTGAGCCTGAAAAAAAAAAACCCCGGTCAGTAACTCACCGCTGAAACTTACTGTCACTTACTGTTCTCTAGACTTACTACAGGATGATTTGTCTTCATTGCCTTTATTAGCGGTGTGTGTTTTTAGTTCTTATAATAACACCCAATGTTCCATCCTATTATAATTAAGTGATTTAGTCCCTGTGTACTTTGCATCCTTGGTTGTAGGTGACCATCGAGGTGTTGAATGACCCACCCATGGAAGTGGACATGGACCTGGTTAAAGAATGGAGTAATGACTGGTCTACATCTTCTCCCTCCTCTACTGTAGAATGGCTGGGTGGGAAGAAGCTTTTCTGGCCTTTATTTTGGGGCTACGCAGATGTAGATTCAGGTGAGGATGGTACTGGCCAAGCAGTGGAGGAAGAGGATGATTATGCACTGGAGTATGACAGTGGGGAGCCCCTTCCTAGTGGGCTGGGCAAAACAGGTAGCAACTTGGAAAGCCCATGGACTCAACGCCATTATGGTGAGCGCTTTCTTTTATATTAGCCGTTTCTACTCACTGGTCTTGAGAATTTAGAAGTAAGAGTACTTTCAAGCTGTGCAATTAATAAAAGCCTTGGAATGGAGAAATCTGTCTTCAGGCAAGTTCAGAATTTGCAGAACTGCCATGTATCCGTGTATCAAAACTGTGAGTAGAAAAAGATGGTGTCAAGCTGGAGGAATGGGAGAATTTGAGAAAGCTGCATTGGCAGCAGTCAGATGAAGGCGATTTGGAGAGTGGTTTAAGGGAAAGAGAGATGTAGAGATTGGGGAGTAAGGGTAGAGCGAGCTGTTTCACAGCATTGATTCGGACTAGCCAGTGGCGGGGTATTTGTGAGCGCCGGACCTTTGATGTAGACACTGGTTTCACTCGGCGGAGAAGACCGCTGTTTGAAGATGAGCCCAATCCGCTCACTAATGGCAGCGCGAGTATGCTCTCTTGGACAAATAAGCCCATGCTTGTGTTCAATTAGAGCACAAATCGGGAACACAGAGTTAGAGGGGTCATCCGTTTACTTTTTAATGTCTCGCGGGTTGGGCCCCAGACCCTGCATCCCCCCACCACCCCCTCCATCCCAGAGCGGCTGGGTCTTTTAAGCTTGTTCAAGAATCCTAGGCTTTTCAAGGCCATGCATAACATTACGCCTCTGTTGCTTTTTTGTTTTTATCTCCAGGCCATGTCTGTTTTATGGTGGGAATTGCACACTTTGCGTTGTAGCTGTGCAGTCTTGTTTCATTGGAGACGAGGATGAAATGGAATGGGGGTTTAATTGGTGTGGTAAAGGAAAGACACAATGACTGAGTGCTAAATTTAGAGATTAAGTATGGCCTCAATCTAGACCAGAGGTTACTGGATAATCTTATTTTTAACATAATTTTTCTCTTCTGTCTCAAGTCCTGAACTTTATATATATATACAACCCCGACGTTTTGTAAAATGCAATAAAATCAAAAATATTAATTTGTTAATTCTCTTTAAAATGTATTTAATTGACAAAAGTACAAAGAAAAGATTTCCAAAGATTTCCAGTGACCAACTTAAATGTATTTTGTAAATATAAACAAATTTTGATTTTGATGGCTGCAGCACACTCTAAACTATTTGGAACAGAGGCTAAATAAATGTGAAAAGGTTATAGAATATCCAAATTAAACTGTTATGAAACTATTCACAGTAAGCAGGCGAGTTGGCAATAGGTGAGGGTATCATGCTTGGATATAAAAGGCATCTCAGTCTTTGCAAACAAAGCTGGATCATGGCTCATCACTTTGTGCCAAATTTCATGAGAGAAGTGTCAAGCAAATCAAAAATCAAGATTTTTGCCAGAGCTCAACTCAGAAAAGACAGTGGGAATGTGTGCTTTGGTCAGATGAGTCCACATTTCAACTTGTTTCTGGGAAAAAATGGACATCGAGTTCATTTCTCAGTCCCAAAGACCAAAGGGACCATCCAGACTTTCATCAGCAACAGATGCAAAAGCAAACATCTGTCATGTTATGGGAGTGCAGCAGAGCACACGGCATGGGTGACTGGCATATGTGGGGAGGTACCATTGGCATGGAGGCATATATTGGAATTGTGCAGAGACATATACTGCCATCATGATATCTTTCATGGCAAGTCCATGGTTGTTAGATCAAGACAATGCCAGGTGTCATTCTTCATGTGCTACAAGAGCATGGCACACAGAGTGAATGTGCTAGACTGGCCCAGGGGCGTAGCCATCATTTCAGAAGTGAGGGGGACAGAAATGTTAT